TGGTGTAGGGCTACAGATGAGCTTGCCCAGGGAGTAATGTCAGAGTTTGTGGGGTGGTGGGAGGCGGGAGGCTCCTGTGGGATGTTGGGGCATGTGACTAGTTTGTCATGGGGTGGTTAGTGTGTCCCTGGGAGCCTAACGGGGAGGGGTTTGGTGTAAAAGAGAAGGATCACGGGTTTGCATGTTTGGAGGGAATGGCTTACTGTGGAGGTTTAGAAAGTGGGTGGTCTGTGGAACAGTAGTGCGGGGGTTATTTTATATGTGGGAATAGAAGTGCTGCTAATTGGCAGTGCTAAGTGGCGGGAGGGAGTAAGTTAGGCATTTGACATGCCCGTGGACGGAATCTGGCAGTGTAATGGGGTTACTTTCCACCCCACGTTGAATTTATCTTGCTTAGATCTATTTTAACTATGTAACCAAGGGACGTGTCAGCTTGGGCATTTTAAGGCTCTCTTTATGAGGGTGCTTGTTCCTTCAGCTCTTTTGCCTGGGACAAAAGTTGTAAAGTGCCTTCTGTAGCTGGCCCTGTTATCCGGGTTGGGATGGAGTTGTTAACTGGAGCAGAGGAAAGTACAGCTGTGTAACAGGGGTGCTTGTGTCTTGTCTTAAATCTGTAGGTGGGTGATGCCAAGCACAGCCATGAAGAAAAAGGTAAGAATTTGATTCTGTGCCTGCTATCTCTTTGATACCTAGAATGGCAAATACTGATCAAGTTCCCCTTTGATCCTGGTAAAGTAACATTTTTAAATAATTTGGTAACCTGAGCAGCTGGGTTTCTGCAAGGTGGAACCTTCCAATTACCGCTAGTTGAATAGCCTCCTGACAAATAACACTAATTTTTTACCTAAGTAAGGGGAGAAAAATGTGTAATGAAACACATCTGAGCTCAGTTGGAAAAATGTGTTTGGTGAGGGGTTCAAGTGATACTTCAAGGGAAGTTTTGTTGCCTCAGTGATAGGAACCAAGGATGAAAATACAGCTCCTCTGCTCGGACCTAGGAGTGTAGATTTTACAGTGATAATTATTAGAAATGCGTACGATTGTTATCCAAAGAATGTGACTATTCTTGTATGTTATGCTTGGATTAGATTTCACTTCTTCCCCTATATATTGCAGTCTAGTCCTTTTGAAAAGCCAATGAAGGGATTGGTGGTGGAATTTCACATCTGTGAATTTAGAATTGGTTTTAAGTTGGATAGTGCTATGTTTGACTGTTACAACAGGCTAACACTCAAACAGATGTTTCTTCATCACTGTTGTGAAACAAGATCAGATCTCGCTTCTTTTTGCCTCTTGTATGCAACCAGGCGGCAACATGATACTTAAGGGTTAGCTTCAAAAAGTCTGAAACACATTACAGGCCTTGTCTGCCTCTTTGAAGAAAAATAAGTTTCCATTCTTCTGCTGCAAAGTCCACCAGAGCCTGTTATCCTGAATGTTGTTATGCAGTGAGAGTATTCAACTAGTTTGTGCCTCGACCATGTGGTTGAGCTACTTTTGAAAGGGAACTAGTTAGCCTATAAATGTGATTCTTCTCAGAAAAGTGACCAGGTATGGGAGTGTGGATTCCATGTCTGTTGGTTAAGTTTGAGATTTTGTTTTCTGAGATCTGTAACTCTGGAATTGGAGAGTCAAGTGGGTGTCTTTCTAACTCATACTCTATTGCCAGTCCTAAAGATTCTGTGGGATAGCTTCAGCCTATAGTTGCATCTCTTTTTAAATCCTGTTGTCTAAAATAAGATTTCAGAGGTGTTGTCAAAGGCAGAATGAGTCTTTTCCCCACCAGAAACTAATCACCATGTCTCCTTCCATGGCCTGCTGATCTGGAAAGCAAGATTGAGATTGCTTTTATGCCTTAGTAGTGGGTAGTCAAACTAAGCTACCTTAGCTTTTAAGCTACCCTGTCTGCTTTTAAACTTCTTTCTGCCTTCCAGCATGTTCACATCTAAACACTGGACTTGGATTTCATTTCAGTCAGGGAGGAGATTCCAGTGGTATAGCGAGGGTGTTATGTGCCCACCCGGGCATAGGCAAAACTGTGCCAAACTGCACAGCGGGGGCGACAGCGGATCCTGAGCCAAGGGCTGTGGGCTCCCAGATAGGCCTTTGAAGTGCCCGCTCCCGCCGCTTGGCCCTGCCTTGGTGGCTTGTCTGCCGGAAGCAAGTGGCCTGGCAGCTAACTTGGTGCCCCTCTAGCGTGGCGCCCGGGGGCAACTCCCCCTCCCCCCGCCCCTCCTCGCTATGCCACTAGGAGAATCTTATTCTTACAGTACAAAATGTAAGGATGGTGACTGGCAGGACAGGACACAATGGTCAAGAGCTCATGTGAGGACACGTATTTTTTTTAAATGTTCGGGATGAAATGTTTTGGGCTCAGTGAATCCTTGGGCTCTGATGAGTCGGGAGCAGCGTGCTTTCACCTTAAGTGCCAGTGCATTTGGAGAACATGTGTGGAGGCTGGGAAAGTGAAAAATAAACAGCGCTCTTCTCTGGATGTCTGAAATCCAGCTGTGAACTCTTCCCAAGGTGGGTAGCAGAAATGTGCCTAGTTGTCCTGTTCTGTGATGCCTTTGTGCATAGTGACTAGTTTATATTGGCACAGAGATCAAGAGGAGGATGAATAAGCTTCAAGTCAGGGATGTAAGTGACTAGTTGACTACCCGATAAGCAACTAGTTGCTTCCCCCACCCTTGCTGCCTCTATTAGAGAGAAGCAGTAAGGGGGGAAGCACAAGCTGGTGCTGGGGGGAGCCGGTTTAAAAACAGGTCCCCTCCCCACCCCGTGAGACTGTCTCCGCGGAAGGAAGGGACAGCAGGGAGACGGTGTGAGCGGTGACGCCCGTGCTGGTCCCACTCCTGCTCCTCTCTCTTTGGGATGTACAAGAGCCACCTGCGACTCTTGTACATTTCAAAGGGCGAGGTGCAGTGGGACAGCGAGTGCCCCCGTTATCGACTAATTGAGTAGTCGATGGAATTTCCATCGACTACTCAATTAGTCGATAACGGGGGCACTCGCTGTCCCACTGCACCTCGCCCTTTGAAATGTACAGGGCCTGCAGCAGCTCTTGTACATTTCAAAGGGCGAGGTGCAGTGGGACAGCGAGTGCCCCCGTTATCGACTAATTGAGTAGTCGATGGAAATTCCATCGACTACTCGATTAGCTGATTAATCAAAATTTAACATCCCTACATCAGGTAGCACAGTTATTTTTCTTCTGGATTTTAGGCAACTATACAGTCTGTGCAGAAACAGGACATGCAGCTCCGGGAAAGTGGTCTGATTGAAGGGAAAGAAGAAAGCACAAGCCAAGGAGAAGATGGTGATCTATTTGAGTGTTGAGTAAAAGTGACAAGGAGCTACAGAATTTTTAGTGGTGTAATGCTTGTTCATTGGCCATGAATATCAAGGAATTAAGGACACCTGTCTCCCAGTCACTCAGGTTGAAGCCCTTTTGTTTGCTAGGCTTCTCTGAGGTGGCCAAATCGCAACATATGCAAGTCAAGCCCTTTCTGCATGGGGCTACCTAGGCCTTTTGTCTTTAAACCATTTGTATTTATCCATTGAAGAGTCACGCAGAAGCCGATATTCGTAGTAGTTTAACTCTTTCCTCTCCTGCCTTTCCTTACCAGGTGCTGTTGATGGGTAAAAGTGGGTCTGGGAAGACCAGCATGAGATCCATTATCTTTGCAAACTACATCGCCAGAGACACACGGCGCCTTGGTGCCACAAGTAAGATCTTGATCTCTGGTTAACACTTAACACCGTCTGCGGAAAGATATAAGGAGATGCTCACCTTTCCTTTGCGGACAGAGCAATACGGTGTCTCTGACGTTTGCTGGACCCCTCCATGTGGGGTCTGGCTAAAAATCTGAGTCAAAATACCTTAGATGTGGGTGAGGTGGCATGGTCCTTCCCTTTTAAGCTGTGGAACAAAAGGTGACTTTAAATGTTGATGAAAATAGTTTGCACGCTGGTGCTTTTCCCCTGACCTTGCCTGTTCATGAAGAGTTCAGAATGGCTGATGAACCCTCCAGAAGAGACCTGACTTCTCCATGTCCGCAGGAGAATGTGGGGTTCTGCAGACTTAGAAGAAAGACCTCTATGTGTTGCAGAATGATTCGTTAACCTGAGTTAGTGCATTTGTTTTGCACATTGCAAAGCTGTTAATTTGAAGGAAGGGTTGTAATTGCAACCTTCAATCTCAACATGGCTCACATCTATCAGTGTGACACACTCTGCTCCCTGGGAAATATGAAATCCTTATGTTACAGGGGATTACATGTATGGTGGGGTTTCCTGTTCTGTCACAAAGTAGGTTCCAAAGAAAGTTAGGTCTCCCTGGGCCTAGAAGACCTCCCTGGTTCTAAAGTCTTCAGACACCAAATATATCAGAGATTAAGGTGCTTAAAAGGGGTTTCAGATAGATAAGTATTCCAAAAAGAACAAGATGCTGGTTATTTATAAAGCAGAGTGTTGGCCATATTGGCTTGCTGTTGAACTGGGAGAATGTATCTACACAGATCTGTCCCGGACCTGGTACTATTTGATATTTTTATCAGTGACTTGGATAATGGCGTGGTGAGTGTTCATAAAATAGACAGATGACACCAACGTTGCAAACACCTGGAGGACAGAATTAGGATTCAAACCAACAAACCGACCCTTTACAAATCGGAGAATTGGTCTGAATTCAACAAGATGAACTTTGCTTAGGATGGAGAAATCAAATGCCCCACTACCAAAACCTGAACATATATAACCTGTTAGGTGGTGGTATTGCTGAAAGTCCTCGGGATTATAGTGGGTCACAAATCGAATGAGTCAGCAATATGCTGCAGCTACAGAAATGGTTAATATTCTAGAGTGTATTAAAGGGAGTGTTGTAGGTAAGACACAGGAAGACATGGTCTGCTCTGGCTGACACTAGTGCAGCTTCATTTGGAGTATTGTGTCCAGTTCTGGGCACCACGCTTCAAGAAAGATGTGGACAAGTTGGAGACAGTCTGGAGAAGAGCAAGAAAGATGATAAAAGGTTTAGAAAACCTGACCTACTGGGAAAGGTTAAAAAACCTGAACATAATTAGTCTTAAGAGGCATGAGTGGGACCTGGTAAATGTCCGTAATGTATCTGAAGACTTTATGAAGAGGATGGTGATCAATTGCTCCCTAAATCCACTGAAGGGAGAACATGGAGTCTAGACAGTAGGAAAACATTTCGGACTATCCTATAAGGATAGGATCAGAGGGCTAGCCGTGTTAGTCTGGATCTGCAAAAGCGACAAGGAGTCCTGTAGCATCTTATAGACTAACAGATGTATTGGCGCATAAGCTTTCGTGGGCAAAGACCCACTTCTGACGGATGTGACGAAGTGGGTCTTTGCCCACGAAAGCTTATGCTCCAGTACATCTGTTAGTCTATAAAGTGCTACAGGACTCCTTGTCTATAACGATAGTTAAGCTCTAGAGTAGATTTCCATGGAGGCCCCATAATTGGAAGTTTTTTAAAAAGGGGTTGGACAAACACCTGTCAGAGATGGTTTAAGTTTATTTAGTCCTATCACAACACAGGGGACAAGACGTAATGACATTGTGAGGTCCCCCGGCCAGCCCTATATTCCTGTGATTCTACAGTCATCCATGGCAGAATATAACTAGTAAAACTGAGTAGCTTGAATTCCACCCTTCCAGCTCTGGGCTTTAAAGAGTCCCCATGAATCACGTTTTCAACTGTGCTGGGTGGTAACTTTCCAGTTGTCTCCCTTTTCGCTTGGACTGTGTTTGGTGTACACGTGGTGCAGTTATGCGGCTTCCTTTGTGTCTCTCCAGTTGACGTGGAGCACTCCCATGTTCGATTTCTGGGAAACCTGGTGCTGAACCTGTGGGACTGTGGAGGGTAGGTGCTCTCCCTTCCATTGCCTGTGAAACCCGGGGAGGTGGCTGTGGCAACGAGGACAGTCGTGTGATACGTTAGGAGACTGTCCATTTAGCTGCGGTGGGGAGGAATGCTTTGTGTGTCAATGAACTGTTGACAGTGGCGCTTAGAAGTGTCAGCAGTGCCATATAATTAACAGCCCGCACATCATAAACTCAGACATGGCGATGAGTGAGGAGGGCTGACATGATAATCCTGGAGCCCAAGGTTACCTATCCATGGGACAGGGGGAGCAGACCCTCCCTCCCTTCCCTCACTGACCCTTTCTCCTGTTGAAACAGTGACTCTGAGCCTTGCAACCTGGCTGAGCTACCTGTAGGACTGGAGAAAGGATAATTAGAAATGGGTTCTAGAACCTTTTGTTTTGGGGGCCTTGCTTCAGATGGGACCGGATGGGTGGAGTTGGCCCACTGGCTTTGGTGAAATGAATTGAGGGGTGGCTGAACAGTCTTCTAATGAATGGCCTTGGTTTCTTGTAAAAACTTGATTTACTGAAGTGGGACTGAGAGAAGGCTCGTTTGGAAGGGTAAGCGTACGCCACCCCTGCTGTACTTGGTCTGTGGCTAAGCAGAGACCCTCAGTCTCCACCCTTGCTGTATTGAAAGCTCAGTCCTCATACATAGCAGACTTCCTTGGCGATACAGATGTGTGGCTAAGCCAGGCACGTCCAATTGATCTAACCAGGGTCCTTGCTGTCATGCTCCTTCTCAGACAAGACACCTTCATGGAGAACTACTTCACCAGCCAGCGGGACAACATCTTCCGCAACGTGGAGGTCCTGATCTACGTCTTCGACGTGGAGAGTCGTGAGTTGGAGAAGGACATGCACTACTACCAGTCGTGTCTGGAGGCTATTCTGCAGAACTCTCCTGATGCCAAGATCTTCTGCCTGGTGCACAAGATGGATCTAGTACAGGAGGACCAGCGTGATCTGGTAAGAGGCTGAGCATTGCCTGATCAGCAGGGGCTCTGGAACAGAGCATGCATACTGTAAACCTAGCCTGGTGAGCACTTCCTCCAAAAAGCTTTTGTTTCAGGCTTGTGTGTGGGGAAATCTTGGAAAAGTTGAGGTTCTCTCCACCTCCAAACCTTAGTTCCCCAGCTCCTCCTGGCCCATTGTGTATAATGCCTGTCTAATGGCCACAGAGAGGATGGATTCTCCATGCCAAAGAACCTGCAGTCTTCTCCTTTGTGGTATCAGTTTTCGCATCTTTACTGACTTTTGGGATAGGGAGCAAAGAAGAACCCAAAAGGTTTAACCTCCTTGTTGCACTGCAAAGGATCAGGTCTGTACTTGCTATGCTGCTGGTCCAAATCCAGCTCAGCTGTGTGCTAAGTAAAAATAGGTACCACGTGCCAGCTGCTTAGCTGTGTTGTGAATTGGGGAAGTCTCAATCTCAGTCCTAGTGCACAGAGGTCCACGCCACCATTGGCGCTAGCCAGCGCAGAGGCTGCACAGTAGTAAGCAATGGGGCCGTGGTCTATGACTTGGCGTTGAGTCTGATCTATCGTCTTGCTCAGGTGTCTGGGTGGGCTGAAGGAGAGCCAAGTACTACAGTGCTCATGCTGTGGCAATTGTTAGGGATGGCGTTCTAAAGTGCCCAGCAGCTCCTGTTGCTAGGACGGGAGTAGCGTTCCCCATTCTTCTCAATGGGTGCAACGGGGGGGCTGAGATCTCCCTTAACTCTGAGCCATCGTAATATTTCAATGAGAGTTATACCCAACTCCTGTGTTAGAAGAGAAGTTCACATTGTGGGTTAGCCGTGTGTCCGTATGACACATGCACACCCCTAGCTCTGCAGTTGGCTCAGACCTAGAGCTCCTGTCTTTGGTCCTCGCGTTCCAGTGAGAGAAGCCTGCACTCTTTCTTAGTCCTTCCAGCCTGTCCAGATGTACAAGGCTCAGAAAAGAGAAGTGGTCCCCTGTTGAAACCACAGGCTGGCTTTCCCTGGGCAGACAAACTTCTTCAATGAAACAAATTGGCTCTTAACTCAGCAGATACTAGCTAGGGTTCCAAGCTGCACTTTGTCACTCCACCTGTCATTTAAAGCATTTTGCTTCTGGAGCTTGTTGGACTATTACCTTCCATCCTCCCTAGGAAGGGGCCAGGAAGGACCTGGACTCAGCCTAAGTTAAATGAAAACTGGATCTGTCAGGCTGGTATTTCAGCTTGCTATCTGGCATTTAACACCAGTATCCATGTACAGCTGGTTGGTGTGAATTCTAGCCAGTCCCTGAAAATAAGGAAGGGCATGGGGCAAAAATCATACAGTGACGTGACTCAAAAGCATTGTTTTCCTTGTAGTAGGAACTCATTTGAGGTATCTGCTAGACTCCTTTGAGTCATGGATTCTGTCTGCTTGCTTGTGCCTAATTGGTGCTCTGACATTTGAAAGTAGTGCCAAATTATGTTGTGGATCTTGGTGTCTGTCTTAGTGGGTTTCGCAGTCAACTGGGAGATTTATGGATGTTCTCCGCTTTCATGCTCCTGAAAACCAATTAAAAATAACTTGTTGAAATCAAGACGATTAGCCCTGTGACATGGGTCAGCTTTCCTGTTTGGGCTCTTTTTTTTTTTTTTTTTTACGCATATGAATCTTGAATATCTTAAGGACTGTGGATTTGTATCTTGTGGATTTGAATATCAGAGAAAGAGGAGAAATGTCAAAAATCAAAATGTTTTTTATCTTCGGCATATTGTTAACACATCGGTCTGGAACAGAAATGATTTTTCCATATCACAGTTCGCTCCTAACGCTCACTTCTGAGTCTACCTGTCTCATAGGTGTGGGTGGAGCCGGCAATCTGCATTTTGTTAGTGAATTTACTATGAATAATTTACTCTTCCCGCACCAGGGGGCTCACTGCTAGCTGTTCGCCATTTGTAATGATTTCTCAAGTCATGCAAAGTCTTATTTTGACCCATCTCTGATATTTTTAAATCATAACTGACAAAAACAGAGTAAGTAGGACGGGGCTATGCAGTGACTACTTAACCCAGACCAGCTTAGTTAATGCAGCTCACTTTACTGGAGAGGTTTTCTTCCATCTTTTGACCTGAATGCCCATGAAGTCCTTGTTCAGATTTGTTCGTCTATGACCGCAGCAGAACTATTCTCCAAACCTGGGAATGTGCGTGTGCATCTAAAAATACCAAACTTCCCTCTTGCAGATTTTTAAAGAGAGGGAGGAAGACCTGCGGCGTCTGTCCCGCCCACTGGAGTGTGCGTGCTTTAGAACGTCCATCTGGGATGAAACGCTTTATAAGGTTTGAATTTGAATGCGCCTCTTCTGTGTGGCATTTCCTTTCGTCTGCCTCCTGCTCTCTGGGTGCGTAAGCTGCATTGTCAGCTGCTGCCGAATTCCATAGCTATAGGGGTCTCTTCTAGCCCTTTAACTTTGAAATGCTGTCTTGAAACGGGAGGTTCCATTCTGGGTTTTCAAGGGGCGAGGCTGATGGCTGTTCAGCTGCTGGCTTCATAAAATAAATCTGCCTTTCCCTTCTCCCATCGGTATTGTGGTACATAGTCCTATAGCGTCCGGTTAACGCTGCCTGTGTCCTCCCTGCCCAGTTGATTTAGAAGGAACCTCCACTTCCCTTAACACAGGACTATATGCAGCCAATGCAGAATTATTTCCATATTCCGTTTTCTAAGACCTTGTCCGATAATCAGCGACTAAAGTTATTGGGCTTCCATCGCTGCTTGGGAGATGACTCCCCCTTCTGGAAGCTTGTCTTGATATCCAGCCTAGACTTTCCTTACCTTCATCCTTCCCCATTACCTGTTAAGATCTCCCTGCAGAGACTGGGTTGATGGGTATTAAATGGATCAGACTGAGAGCAAATGACAATTCTCCACATTTTGGAGTATTGTGTCCTGTTCCGGTCACCATGTTTCAAGAAAGATGTGGAGAAATTGGAGAAGGTCCAGAGAAGAGCAACAAGAATGATGAAAGGTCTAGAGAACATGAGCTAGGAGGGAAGACTGAAAGAATTAGGCTTGTTTAGTTTGGAAAAGAGAAGACTGAGAGGGGACATAATAGCAGTTTTCAAGTATCTAAAAGAGTGTTACAAGGAGGAGGGAGAAAAATTGTTCTCCTTGGCCTCTGAGGGGAGGGCAAGAAGCAAGGGGCTTAAACTGCAGCAAGGGAGGTTTAGGTTGGACATTAGGAAAAACTTCCTACCCGTCAGGGTGGTTAAACACTGGAATAAGTAGCCCAGGGAGGTTGTGTAATCTCCATCCCTGGAGATATTGAAGAGTAGGTTAATTAGACATCTATCAGGGATGATCTAGACAGTGCTTGGTCCTGCCGTGAGGGCAGGGAACTGGATTTGACCTCTCACGGTCCCTTCCAGTTCTAGTGGTCTGTCACAAATGTGGCACAACCATCTCAGAGGGCAAAGGCAGCAAGAGTGTCTTGCTAGACTGAAGTTCTTCTGGCAATTCCCTTGATTTCATAGAACCATAGAGCTGGAAGAGACCTCAGCAGGTCATCAAGTCCAGCCCCCTGCCTAAGGCAGGACCAATTTCACTGGGAGGCAAAACTGGACGCCTCTTAAAATCCATCCACGAGGACAGGGAATGTCCCAGCCTACAGGGCATGGCATGCCCGAATGAGGCTGGTCCGGGCTACACCCTCCTGAATTGATTTTGTCAGTGTCTTTAGTGTGTACATTGGTCTCCTGCAGTAGGCAGCGATCTCGTTTCCCTTTTGAGAGCCATCTAGTTACCGATTGGCTACCCTTTCTCCTTCAAGGATCCCTGCAGTCAATCATTGAGGGAGCTCTTGTTTATGCTCCATACTGGAGGTGCCCAGGGACAGAGCTACATCATTGTAGGAGCTCCATAAGAGCTCAGTACTGAAAAGTAATGTTTTGCACCTTCTGCCTTTAGACAGGGTGAAACTTCAGCTGTTCTCGTATGCACCATAGAAATGCCTATGAAAACCAGTGGTTTGGTTTAGTTTGCTGTATGTTGGAACTCTGGCACACAAGCAAATCCCTCTCTACTAGCCTTGGCATAGGCATAGACTGAGGGCCTGATCTTGAGATGGGCTGAACACCTGTAACTTCACTGCAACCAGCTGTAGTTCAGTGCTCAGCACCTCTGGGATGCGTCTCTGTGGTAATGCCTTGGTTCTGCTGCTAATTCTATGGCCACCCGGCAGAGATCTGCTTGTAAATAAGCAGAAAAGTAAAACTGGAGGCTTTAGCTGGGAACAATAAACATTTCTCCTCTGGAAATGTGGATTCACATTCAGCCCAGACATCACCAACAATCTGATGGCATCAGATTAATCTCGGCCATGTTTTTACCTGCTTCACAATGTGCCATTGCTGGTAGATAGGTCAGGAAGTAGTGTGGGGAAGGTAACACCCGTGGGGGGGTCCGCAGCTGTAACTGAAGCGTGTGGGCAGATGATGGGAGAAGCTTGCATAACTCACGTTTCAGTTATTGATCGTAGCCTGAATTTACCATGTCTGTCACTTTTCATAATGAAAGAGGGAGGCTGTGGGCCCACTTACGAAATCCTCCTCGCGCTTACTGTGTTTCTATCTTCTGACAGGCTTGGTCCAGTATAGTCTATCAGCTGATTCCTAATGTCCAGCAACTAGAAATGAACCTGAGGAACTTTGCTCAGATTATCGAGGCAGACGAAGTCCTTCTGTTTGAGAGAGCCACTTTCCTGGTGAGAACTGCCGTCCCCGCTGTGTGCTGTGTCCGCTGGCTCCAAGGAACGATCCCGTTAGGGGGCATTTTAGAATCATTGGGAGGGTTCCCTGCATGAAAAGCACTGCAGAGTGCAGAGGGTTCTTGTGGGGTTGGTGCTTCTAATACAATCTAGGTAGAAGTCCCAGGTTGAATGAAAAGTTCTGCAGTGTCTTGTGACCGGGGAAGTCCCGCCTTGCCTACTTGGGGAGGCTATTGCGAAATGCAGTGGGATGTGAATGTGAAGCGCAGGAGCTTTGTGCGTTGAGCTAAACTGAACAAAGGCAGTCGGTGCGGAATCCATGCCCCCATGGAGAGTTGTGGCAGAATAGCTATTCAGGGCTATTACCCCCCTGTAGACAAGGCCCAATTCTCTTGTTTTTGGCATGAACCGGGTGCTCCTATGAAATTCTTGAAACTCCCACTCAGCAATTCAGCTCTGAGCAATGCCTGATTCACCTTTGCCTGCTCCAGTCTGTAAGGGTATGTCTACACTACAAGGGTAGTTTGAAATAAGTTCTTTCGGAATAACAACTCCCTAAATAACTACTTCGAAATAGCACGTCCACACTACAGGGAAGCCTCACAATTAGTCCGAGGCAGGCTCCCCTAACGTGGATGCACTACCTCGACTGAGAGCCCCAGGAAACGCTGGGGAGTCATTAGTTTAAATGGCCCTGGGGAGGCGCTGTTTCGAAATAGCAGCAGTGGAGCATCTACACTACTGCTATTTTGAAATAGGTGTTATTCCTCGTGAAATGAGGGTTTATTAGTCTGGAATAAAAAACCTGTCATCTCGAAATAACAGACTTGCTGTGTGGATGTTCACCATGTTATTTCGAAATAGCGCTGTAATGTAGATGTGCCCTAAGGGAGTTTCGTATCCCCGCTTGCTGGTCCACTCCTGGAGTTTTAGGGAATTCCCTTCCATACTACACAAGGGTAAAGCCTTATTCAGACTCGAAAAAGCTGCAGGTTTGCACTTTCCCTTACGTGATGCTTCAGCTGTTCAGGTGTCTCTGTGGCTGAGTACCTGATCCTCAGAGATGGTTGGAAACTTTCTTCAAAGTTGTTTTCTGGACACAGCATCCTACTTCCTAAATGAAAACTGTTGTGGAAATTTTATTTTGTTGGAAATAGTCTACTTTTCAACAAACCACATTTTTGTTTTTCTAATGGAAAATGTAGGCAACCGCATCTTTTTCTTTCTCTTGAAGTAACTCTTTGTAAATACTTGCTATCTTCCAACATGCTGTGCTAGTTTCTGGAATTTTTTTTTGTAAATAAGGATAGCACCAGTGATCGATGATGCATTTTAATAAACCGCTGTTTTCACGACTCTAGAAAACAGGTACTTTTGGTGCACAAACTTCTCGCGCTCACTCAGCTTGAAAGTGACTTTTTTACAAAACTAAAAATACCTAGTTTTTAGAGTCTGTTCTGCTCTCACATCTGTACAACTTCCCCGCAGAAGGAGAAATCCTTCAGACACTCTTAAAGAAATTCAAACCCTTCATTATGCATGTTTGGTAATCATATTGCATGGGCATACAGCATGAGGGTTTGCTGGGTCCAGACACAAGCATGTTCATTTGCATGTGTTGTGACAGATTCTCACTTGGGTGCCACTTGGAACTGGGGTACCACTGAGGGCCTCCTCCCCCCCCCCAAACCTACCATCCTGGGCTCCTTTTTACACTGTGGTGCTGTGACAAGCTGCCGAAGCCTCCAGACTTCAGCCTGCACTTTCACCAGCATACACAGAGATCCAGACATACCCAACTGAGTATATGCAGGGGCTTTAACAAGCCCCTGCAAAGGAAGGCAACAGCAAAGGCATCTTCCAGTTCTCAGGTCACCCCCTGTCTAGAGTATAAACTCA